AAGTCTCACTTTTGTGTTGGATAAATTACAAATGACGGACATACATTCGTGGACACAAGTCACTTGGACTCACTAAAGTTGTCATGCAGTATTTTATATTCATAGGGATCCCGACTCAGTTCGTTCCATCTGAGTGAACATTCATTGCTAAGCCAGACACCATACAAGTAAAATTCAGCTTTACCTACCTTTATGTGTCAGGTATTTTCATTTCATTTCAAGGCAATAGGCACTGCTTTACTGTGAGACAGGTTTAGAAATACACGATTAAAGCTCTCTCTCTAAACATTCATGGTTTCTTCTCTGCTTAGTACTGACTTGGGATATGCATAGTTTATTTTCTGTGACACCGACATACAATTCCAGTAGGAATGAAAAAGAAAAGATTGAAAAGGTGATCATAGAGGCACTCTAGGGAATTTCCTGGCATAAAGAAAGACTCAATTTTCAGCTTTATATCTGTTATCACCACTGGGAACTGCAGCTTATCTGAATAAAAAGGCAGAAACACACAAGGTTCTCTACAAGGTCAGTCTCACAACGATTCTTAATGGAACAATTCCAGGTTGTACATCACTGAGAAATTACAGGGTTGTGGCCCTGGCACTGTGTGTGAAAGTATTGGAAAAGACCTGTTCATCCATCCACTTGCCGACCTTATATTTTCATCACATCTACTGTGTGTGTGCGCATGTGTGTGTGTGTGTAAGTGCGTACACAAGCCTTGTGAATTCATGACATAAACTGTCAGTAGCACTTACAGCACTACGAAAAGCTTGTACGGACTGCAAAACATACTCTATTGCACTCCTCAGCCTCTTCATTTAAAGGTGTGATCCTACCTTTCAAAGAAAACACAGACCTATTTCAACGTGACCTTTACCTTTCATGTCTTCTGTCATGAGAACTGAGAGTCTGAGTGAAGGGCATTTGCTGTTTTTTGCTCACTGAGATATGAAAGTGAAGAAATTTATAGAAATATCATGGCAACGAGGTAGGTTTCTCAAGAGGGGTTAGCTGTGAGAAGGTGAATAGGTTGCTATTAGTTATGGACTTCACACAGAGGTGTCATGATCTGTGTGTGCAGATCATGTTGGAGAGAGGGTTCAAAAGCAGAAGCGTAGAGACAGGAGTGGACTTAACAAAAAGCAAGCCGAAGAAAAACCAACAAGAATACAAAAGGCAAAAAGAGACTAGACTTTACTAACTAAACAAAACACTAAGAACTGGACACATGGATACATGGAGTAACTGACACTATATATACACATGAGGGTGATTTAAGTGGAGACACATGGAAACATACGCAGGACAATTCAGGCATAAGGAGACAGGGGAAGGAAAAACTGAACACAATGCACATGACACAAAGGACTGCCAAAATAAAACAGGAAGTAACATGCACACCAAGAGTCAGACAAGGACACACAGGCTTGACACCAAGACAGGGGTATACAAACATGGAAACACACAACAGACTTGGGAAGATAAAGGATGACAGAGAGGGAGAAGAACATGGAGACAGACTCAGAGACATGACAAGGAGTAGACCATGACACAGAGGTACATTTACTCGCTGTTAAATAAATCAGTACTAGATATGGAAAAGGTCATGCTAAAATGCTGCATTCATAAAAGAGATTGTCTGTATGTGAAAGTCATTTATACAAAAATTCATATATTTAATTTCTAAAAAGTATTTAGCGAGAAGTGATGTAAAGATAACTCAACAACATATTCATCGCATGTCCTTTGTAGAGGATTTCCGCAACTTTCAGTTCATTTTTTTGGCGCCAAGGAGCAGTACATGTGAATTTGCCCTTTCTAAACCACATTTCCAACATTTAACAAAGAAGGAAAACAAACAAAAAAAACTAATCTCTTCCACTCCGGGCAACAAATAGGATATTTTCCTTGGGAGTTAGTGAAGAACAAAACAGAGTGAGAAGGAGAGTGAGTACAGGAATTGCAAATCAATGTTTTTCCAGACCTGCTAAATATACACAAGTATTTGCTAACATGTTTGCTGTCTCTATTATTTAAGGTCTATTAAACTTGAAAAAGGTCAAAATGTAACTTTAAGAAGTAATTATGACATTTTTTACCGTATACATAAGATATAACAAAACATTTTCCTAATCTTGGATGGAAAAGATTTTTTGTTTATTAAGGTGCAATTAAAAAAAAATGAGAAAACAACATTGGGACCACTGGTCGTGTTAAGCAAATATGTTGATAAATAAACTCGTGAACCAGCTCTTGAGGTAAATATCCAGACTTTTAGCTGCTAAAGCTATAAGACACATGCAGGACTGTATTCAGTATGTGTTGTGTCTTCAGTGCAACCTGATTATTTACAGTGCAATGCATTTTAAAGTAAGAGAATAGCACACAAATAGGAGCAGAGTACCAGTAACAAACCCTCCAGGCTCAGCCAAAGGGACCTGTGTTTAATTTGAGTTGATAGCACTCATCATATATGCACAGAACTGTGTCCAGATTGAAGCCTTAGGGAGACAGAAAGCGACGTTGGGGAGGCATGGGGAGAAGGGAATTTTTTTACACTGTGGATAAGGCAATCCAGTGAGAGAGTGTGGTAAATAGTGAGAGCAAGAGAAACGCTGCAGGCTCTCGTGTAATGGTCTGAGGATATCACTGTATCTGATGTTCACATTCAGTGCTTCAAGTGTACAAAACAGAGACAAGCGGAAGCAGAGAGGAAGAAGACAGAGACTGCAGTTTGTTTAGGAAAACAAAGACAACATCATGCTTAAAGAGGGATTGAGTGGGAATAGCAGATTAGCAGCGGGGAAAAGAATGAAAACAATTGGAGGACATGAGGGTGGGTGAAAGGGTGACTAAGAAGAAAAGAATAGGAAAGAAATAACTATAGTGAACGCAGGGGTGGCATAAATGACTAAGCTAACTGATGTGGAAACCAATCATATGTGCATCACACCAAACCAAACAACAACTTGAAGGGTCTCTATACAGGGTGGCAATGCTGCACGCAAGCTACAACACAAAGTGCACGCACATGCAACCCACCACAACAGTCGTGCCATGCAAGGTGTGCTGCCTGTGTGCCCTGAAGATGTTATTCTCCCTACTGACAGCACCACACTGAAGCTCAGGCAAATGCCTCGTTAGAAGTAATTACGTGATGGAATATGCTTTAACAATTGGCCACATGCACCAGACTTACCTCACTGGACAGCTGCCATGCTGATTAAAGACATAAGCAGTGGTGCATGCTGAAATGAAACTGTGTTCATCTAACCTAATTCATCATCTGCACCACTGCTGCAAAGACATGCCATGGATGATGTTCTTGGTATAAAATGTTGGTTAGTGACTAACACCAAAATTATTATTATTATTTTTAAATTAACATTGATTGGTAAAACAGGGAGCACCTTATTCTTCCAATCTGAAAAAGAGTAAAGTGGAAGAAGGTATAACTGAGAGACCTAACACTGACACTCACTAAAATGAAATCTAAATGAACAGTGAACAATGAAAGCCAAGTAACTTTTGTTAGGTGCTGAGATACCTTTTTAAAGAATGTCTTAAAGACTCAGCATGGCTCCATGTGTGAGGAGTTAACAGAATCTACAGACCAGAATCATCCAAAAATATGTTGTAATTGATGTGTAATAACCTGGAAAAAACGAATGGAGTAATTTTTTTGGTCCCTGTCCTTCTTCATGGGGTCCGTGATTTTGCACGAGTACAGTAGCCTTGAACAGACATCAATAATTACTCTGCAGAGGATGGTTTGTGGTGGTTTTAGTGACCAAAGATCCTCCTCCAAGCTTGGAGTACAAGTCTAAGAGGATTTTCAGGTGGTTGCGGTCTCAAACCTAACCCTCAGATGGCATTATTCATTGTACCTTCAAACAATGCTAACAAGTCTGTATATTCTTTGAAATTATTACTGACAATTTCAGAGTAAGTCATAGGGGAACAAAAGCCACATGATTCCACATGATCTGAGCCATGTCTGTTTTACTGTGAAATTCAATTTTCAAAAGGTTTCTGGGTTTTCATTCATGTACACATGTTTGTAGTCTTATTTTTTTTAATGCATCAAAGCTCAAAGTCAACTTTAGGCTGCCTCTCATTACCTTTATTTCCAACTCAAATTTCACTGTCTTCTTTTTGTCATTTCACAGATTACTTCAAAGGGGTCCCTCAGACATGTGTTGTATTGTGATGTAGAATGCTATGCTAATATGACCTTGCACCTACCTGTGCTATGGAAGACAATTTGAGACCTATGACAATGAAAGGGTAAAGATGGTGAAGGCATGGCCATTTGGAGCTAAATAGAACTTTATGGATACAGATATATAGACTGAATATAGACTGAATCACATTGAGAGCTACATAGCTAGAAAGATATATATTACACTTAAAGCTTAAAGCATTTAAAACTGTTTATTTGGCATTTATTTGGTAACACTCTATAAACAAAAAGTATTGCACAGTGAAGAACTAGTATTACCAAGAATCTCACCATTAAATTAGAATATTCAAGTTTTCCCCTTCCATGAAATAGGCACAGTAATAATAATAA